ATCTATCTATCTATCTATCTATCTATCTATCTATCTATCTATCTATCCATCCATCCATCATCTTTTTAAAGCACCACATTGCCCTGGGAAGTTTATTCCCTGTTAGTTACTGGCTTTCATTTGCAAAATTAAAGTTTCCTGGGAAAGCACTCCCTCAGGGGTGAGGAGCAAGGATTGGGTGAGCATTTCTCCAATGAACCCTGCTTGCTTGGTAAAATCTCAAGGTGAGAACTCTTCAGAGCAGACCCCTGGCACAGGAGCTGTGTTCATTCAGAAAATAGCACACATCCTGGGAATCGTGAAGCAGAAGCTTGGAGAAAATGGGCAATCTGTTTCTGGGGGGAGGGAAAGAGAACAGTGTTTGTTTTGAAAGAGTCCTGGCTCCTTTGTTTCTCACGTGTTGTATTTCTGACCCACAGTTCCCAGGAGATGGGCTTCTAGGGGCATAAGAAGTTGGGACATGGCAGGGCTTCTGGCAGCCTATTGACAGGTCAGGGAGGAGAATCGAGGGAACAGCAGGTCTCAGAGGAGGGTCCTAGTAGGTGGACTTCTGTCTGCATCCATCTTGGGTGGCTGCAAAGGTGAGGTGTGAGGAGGTGAGGCTGGAGCGGTGAGGCTGAGCAAGGAAGCAAGGCTAGAGGGTACAGGTGTGAGGCTTGGAGTACACAACGGTGGAGATGGAGAAGTGAGGTGTGAGCAGAGAAGGTAAGACCTCACCAGGTGAGCACAGCTGAGATTTGCTTGGGAGGGGAAACTATGATTGGAGGAAGGGCACCTGTGAGCCCTTTCTGTAGCCTTTCTGTGCTGGCTGTAGCCTGTGCTCCATACAAAAGGAGGACACTTTGCTCTAGCAGGTGGCTGGCAAGTGCCTGAGAAAGACACAGAAGTGGAATGTTGCTGAGTGCAATGGCCTGCTGCAGAAGAGAGAACACAACCTTCAGAGGCTTCTCTTATGTCAACACAGAGCCTAGAAACACGAGACCTCCCTCCCCATGTTTGATTAATAATGTACAGGAGCCTGCCTGTGTTCAGCTAAATCTCCTTTAATGATTTACTGCCCAAATGGTGGGGCTGTGTATCTCAGTGGCACAGAGCTTGCCTAAAGACGGTTAGCTTGTCTCATCCAAATTTCACTTCACTGTTCTTGTGCAGCCTAGATAAAGTACTGAGGCGGGTTTACAATCCAAAAGCCTGAAAACTTGGGATGACTTGAGGACTCTGCATTAAGACTCATCCCCACTTGGATATGTTCCTTTTGGAAACAAATCGCTAGGGTATGCTGGGTGGCCTAGACCCACCCTAGAGGATCCTGTTTCCTCTCATTTCCAGGGTACAGAGTTCCAGCCCCCCAGCATGGCACAAGCTGAGCTGTCCCCTGCTTCATTTCTATGCTGTGGCAAGTTAGGCAGCATCACCCTATACAAGTTAGGAAACAGTCCAACTTGCCCAGGGGGCTGGGCTGAAAAACTCATTTATTGTTGACCTAAGAATAGGTCTTTTACCTTTTGCTGTGGAAAAGCTCAGAGGAGGGTGTGAGGTGAGCTGTCAGCCAAGCCGCTGGCTGAACCAAACAGCAGCTTTATGTGTTTAGTGCGATTATCCATTGTTGAGCCCAAGGCAGAAGGCAGAGTGGAGAAGGAAACTATTTCTTCCTGCAGGGAATGAGTCTGCTCCCTGGGCCTGTCAAGAAAAGCTTGGAAGTGCATTTCCTTTAATCACTTTTCTAAAAAGAGTATCTGGTATGTAAACACCCCATGGGTTGGTCCGGGAAGTTGTTGTTGTTCATGACCATGTGATTCATATTGGAGGAGGAGGAGAAACTAAACATGGGTCCAAGTGATAAACCTAACATAAACAGCATGTTGAGGGGGAAACCCAACGCCGCTGACTCCACCAGACAGCAGCAGGGCTGCCAGCAGGGCTCTGCCTAAGAGGAAAACCTCACTGAAAATATGGACCTCTGGGGAAATGAGATCTTAATACGGATCACTTCACAAGTGTCGCTTCCAACAGACGTTTAGCTTGTAGGGAATGCACACAAATACAAGTGGGGAAGATAAGTAGAAGCCCAGACATTCAGTGAGCAGGGCAGCCAGCTGAGAAAGGGAATGCATAGAGTAAGCAAGGGAGAAGGAGTGGCCAGAAAAAAAAATTAGAGGTTCTTTATAACGGATACGTTAGCACATTCCTAGGAGAGCTATGGAAATTGCTCTTCTTGGCAGGGGTGGAGTTGTATGAGGAGCATGAAGAGGGTGTTCCCCTAACATCTACTCTGAGAATGCCTGGCACCCCAACAGGAAGATAGTTTCATGGTACATGCACTTCAGATGCAGAACCTGGAGACCCCTGAGCTGAATCTGATCTGAAAGCTTCCTCCCCGAGGACCAGCTCTAAAATGGTACCAAAGGGCACCATGCAAACTTCCAAAGGAGGGTAACAGCTGGGAGTCCTACCCTTGTAGGATACCTATGAGCTACAATGTTGAACATGGCACAATAACCCTAAAGGTGAAGTAGTGGCACACATACATTGGCAGTAACCAAAAGCTCTCTAATTGGACTTGAGACCTGTTCAACATGAGGGGAAGCACGGTTTGATTTCATTTATGAGTGTCACAGTTACTCTGCTATTGCTGTGATAAAACACCATGAGCAAGGCTACTAATAGAAGAAATAGTTTAACTGGGCTTACAGTACTAGTGGTTTACAGTTCAGGATGGCAGAGAAAGGGCGTGGAGGTAGGTGGTTGGAGCAGCAGCTGAGAGCTCTTATCCTGAACCACAAGCAGCAGGTAGACAGAGAAAACTGGGTATGGTGCTAGTCTTTTGTAACCTCAAAGTCCTCCCCCAGTGACACAGCTCCTCCTACAGTGCCACCAACTGGAGATCAAGTATTCAAATTCATGAGCCTATGGGAGCCATTGTCATTCAAACCACCACTGTTAAGATGAAAATGAAAGCGTCAGTTGCCAGGACCTGCACGAAGTAATCGGAAGTTATTGTTTAATGAATACAGAGCCGTGGCTTGATCTGATGAAAAGGTTTTGGCAATACAGGTTGGTGACCATGTGACATCAACAATGTGAATGTTGATGATAATGAACTATGTGTGTGTGTAAGTATGTGTTTAGTGAGTTATAAAGATAAATATATATTTTCCTACAATAAAAAAGTGCTTTCAGGACATGACAAGTGGTTTGTGCCTATAATCCTAGCACTTGGCAGGAGGATTGCAGGCTAGCCTAGGCTACATCATGAGACCCCTCTCCCCTTCTCAAAATTAAAAAAAAAAAAAAAAACAAACAAATATCTATAGACATAAATTAGTGGAGCCTTAGGTAAACCTTGGCTGCGTGATTTTCAAGATCCCATTACCTTGTAACCTTTCATGTAGCACATCTAACCTTGGCAAGGTTTAAGGCACACGATACAGAGAAGAAGGTACTATTTCACTGTCTTGGGTAGCTGAGGTGCTGATCCAAGGACTGTAAACTGATCACTCAGCGACCACATGACCTGAAGTATCCAGGGTTAGAAACATAAAGCTGAATGTTGAGGGATGCTGGCTCCTCTCTGCAGTTGGCATATCCCTAATTGTTGTGTGTGATACTGCCTGCCAGCAGTTGAGTTTCTGATCTACTGTCTTGAAGAGACAGGGTCAGAAGAAAGGGTAGGGGCAGGAAAGCACATGGAAGGCTGGACACAGTTCAGAGAAGTACAAGTGTATAAAACTGTTAAGGACTTACTGGTTGGCTAACAGGAGTTTTAAAAGCACCTTCTCTATATATGTATAGCTCTTAGCTATGTTCAACCACATATTTTATAGAGCCCGATCTTGCTTCTCTCTTTGACCTCCTTACCCTTTGGTATAGTATTTAACTCACATGAATACCCTTGAACATGAGCTTGTGGTGGAAACTGAGAGTGAGGCTGGGTTTACGCCTGATCGTAAACTGGGTGAAATACTTTGGAGCATGGAATTTCAGAAGTGGAAGTGTCACGGGACATGTAAGGCCCTTGTGACTACTCATAAGTGTTGGGGAAGCCTTGTAATGTCACTGGCATAGAGCGAGTTTTGACTCAGTCTTGCCTACATCTGTGTTACACTGGAGAGATAGAATTGGCAGAGACCACGGTGTCTAAGGGACCTATGACTGGCCTTAAGTTAGGAAGTTATTTCCATCTACTCCATTAGGGGAAAGAGAATCCTGATGCGAAAGAAAATTTCTCAACCTGCCTCTCCCAGGGCCAGCTCTAGACAACTGGAACTGATTAGAGGTTTATACAAGTTGTAAAAAGTGCCATTTCCATGATAAGTGAGGAAGGTTGTGACCTTTTCCTCAACACGAAGAGAGGACTGCCAGCCTCAGTCCATGGGTGTTTTAGTGATATAAACATCTGGACTCTGCTCCTCCTCTTTGTTTTCAATGGAAGTAAAATGTTTCATGTTCTAGTTCCCAGATTCCAGAATCAAGAACTTAGAAGCCAGCTAGAGCACCAAAAGGTACCAGATCAACGATGGAAAGCCCACCAGTTTCCAAGCCTGCTCCCTGTTGAAGGAATTCTATTAGTCAGTCATTGTAAGATCTGAGTGAAGGCTGGACATTTATAATGGAGAAAGAAAAAAATATATATATATACATTTAAAGTATGACAAGCTAAGCCTCACATCTGTAAACAACAGCCCTCAAGAAGGTAGAAAATTTAAGCTGGCTAGAATGTTCCAGGCTCTGAACCAATGTGACTTTCTGTTT